AATTCCATTAAATTCTTCAAAGTGAAACAAATCACTGACGACGCCATTTGACAGAGAGTAGCGAAATTAAATACAGGACACTAGCGCCGACGACTCCAGAATGGGCGCCGACAGCGCCAATGTCGGTTCATAACCTGTTTCTAGAAGATTCGACGAGTTTGGACGTTTTTTGAAGGGTTTTTGGATGCATCTATTGGAGAACCGACTCTAGGCTCTATTTGGGGCCGAAATTGATCAGAAAAGGGGCTCATCTTCATTCCTCCTGGCTCATTTTCGCCACACCTTGCCTCCATACACTTTTTTCATCTTCATTCCTCCACCATTCAGGAGGCTATTAGTGTTTCTCTTTAAGAGTTTAGAGTTTTTGTGGTGAGATTAAGTGTGAAATCTTCTCTGATAGTATTGGAGAAAGAGAAAAGTGAGATTTCTTCTTCCTACATTTCCTAGGAGAGGCTACAAGGGATTTGCTTTGAGAAAGAGTTTCAGATAAGTGTTATTTGTTTGAGATAATTTGGATGTGTCAATGTTAAAATTTAAAATAAATTGTGATGTTTTTTCAACTCCGCTCTTAATTTAATTTTTTATCTTAATTTAATTTTTTAATCTGGCCAATTGAATCATTAAAATATGTTATGAAACATATTATTCGGGAAGTGGAATATGAGTTCTACAACAGAGAGAGAATCACATTTAAGTCTATGAAGGAGTGTTTCGTTCATGGAATTAAGTGCAAATAATAAGGGAAATAAGCTTTGTTGGGTGTAGAATTGGAGATTTCTAGGGTGACTTGACTAAAATCCCCAATTCGGTCTTAGTTTTTAAAAATTAAAGCGAGAGTTAAACCTTCAGGTGAAGGGAAGTGGGAGTTCTGGAGTGGGAGCTAATATCCTCCTAGCGTAGCCACAAATTTAGGGACTAAACTTGAGATTTGCCAATGATTTTCTGTAACACTGTATCAGGGTAGAGAATTAAAACTGCTTCTATTTGGCACAATACATATTAGAACCATTTATCTCATCTCATTTTACCAAAATCTCATTGTAGTGGGAAAGATGTTTTTTTTACATAAGAAGTTACTGTTTAAACTTTGCATTTTAGTTTTGCTAGAAATTAAATAATTTAGTTTTGTTAGCATCTTACACATTCGAAATTAGTGATAATAATTTCGTTTGATTTCTGTGAATTTTCTAGTTAATTTATCACTTCAAATTTAAACCTTTCCCGTGGGATCAATATTTGGGGCTTAAATAAAAATTTATTTATTACTTGATAACGATACGCATACTTGCGTAAAATCTCAATATTAATTGCTTAAATTTCTTAATCATAAATATTGCATTAAGTTTTTGGCACCGTTGCATAACGGAGTCAAACTTATATAAATTTTACACAACTATATATTCTCGAGATCAAGTTTTTGGCACCGTTGCCGAGTAAAGTAACGGTAAATTAAATAGATTTGGTAAATTAAAAAATTTAGAGATAAAAATATACAAAATACAAAATATCAAAAAAATTATAAAATCAAAAATCCAAAAATAAATAACTATATATTTAAGAGTATTTTTAAGAAATTTTTTCTTGCTTGTTATATTTGTTTATGCGAAATATTGGATATGAAGGTTTAGTACCTTACGATTTAAAATTAGAACGTACTATAAGAAAAATTCAAAAACAACAAAAAGAAATTAAAAATTTAAACAAAATGACGAATAATTTGGATAATCAAATAAATGAAAATTGATAAAGACTTTTAAAAGATTATGCTAATCCGACAACAGATGAACTTCACTTGACTGTTCAGAATCCTGATGTTGCTGCTAATTCAGTTGAGCTTAAACTTACTATTATCTAATGGATACAAAATAATCAGTTTGGAGGAATACCTACTGAAGATCTTAACTTACATCTTACTTGTTTTTTTGAAATTTGTGCTACTTTTAAATATGACGGAGTGTCTAATGATGCTTTTTGGCTTACACTTTTTCCTTTTTCATTAAGGGATAAAGCCAAGGCTTGGTTAAATTTGTTAGCACCTAGATCTCTTAGAAACTATCACAAATATTATTGGCTAAATATTTTTCACCCTCGAAAACTGCTAATCTTAGAAATGGTATTACATCTTTTTGTCAGATTGAAGGGGAATCAATATATGAAGTCTGGGAAAGATTTAAAGATCTTCTTAGAAAATATTCACACCATTCTTTACCAGATTGGTTAATAATTCAAACATTTTATAATGGATTCGTGGAATCACTTAGATCTATTATAGATGCTGCTGCAGCTGGATCACTAATGTCAAAACCTTTTGATGAAACATACTCTTTAATCGAAGAAATGACAACTAATAATTTTCAATGGTTATCTGAAAGGGTAAATCTTAAGAGAGTAACTAGTGTTCATGAGTCTAATGCAATGTCTATTTTACCATCTCAAATTGCTGTTATTTTGAAAAAGATTGATCAAATTAGAGTAAACTATTCTCAAACAACCCCAGTATTAGAGGAAAATTCACTATGATAGATAATTGATACTCAACCATCTTATGAAACTTTAAATGCTATAAATAATCTAAATAACAATCCCTATTATAATTATTATAACCCTGAATGAAAAAATCACCTTAATTTTAGTTGGAATAATTATAACAATTCGGTGAATCTCTCCGGAAATTTGAACAACCAAGGAAATCTTAATTTTCGACCTTACTATTCTCCTGGATTTAACTCTAACCCTAACCTACAAGTTAAGGAAAATAAGTTATGATTTGAAAAACCATTACGTCCGTTTCCTCAAAGGCTGAAGCAGAAGAATAAAGATAAACAATTTATAAAATCTTTGGAAATCTTTAAGAAGTTAACTATAAACATTCATTTTGTTGAAGCTTTGGAACAAATGCCAAGTCATGTGAAATTTATGAAGGATATATTAAACAAGAAAAGGAAGTTTACAGATCATGAGACCGTTACACTCAGTGAAGAGTGTAGTGCTATTATTCAGAAAAAGCTTCCTGAAAAATTAAAAGATCCTGGTAGTTTTGCTATACCTTATGCTATTGGTGAAAAGTTTTTTGGAAATGCTTTATGTGTTTTAAGCGAGTATCAATCTTATGCCTCTATCGATCTTTTAACGTTTAGATTTGAGAGATTTCACTTACTACTGTAACTCTTCAGTTAGCTGATCGATTAATAACTTATCTGAAAGGAGTTATGGAAGATGTATTAGTAAAAGTAGATAACTTTATTTTCCCTGTAGACTTTATAGTATTAGATATGGAGGAAGACAAAAAGATTCCTATTATTTTGGGGAGACCATTTCTTGCAACAGGGAGAGCTGTGATAGATGTGCAAAAAGAGAATTAATAATGATAGTTGATGATCAAGAAGTAACATTTAATATAACAAATGCTATAAAATATCCTGCAATAGAAAAAGACAATGAATGCTTCAGGATGGAAGTAACTGATTATCTGAGTAATGAAGAATTTAAGAATGAGTTAGAAGACAAATTAAAGTAAAGAGATTTTTTTGAAAATAAGGACGAAATAAAAGAAAAGGATTTGGATTATATTCAGGATAAATTTGAAACTTTAGACTTGTTGGAAAACTATAAAAACATTTTATTCCTTCAAGTATTAAACCACCTGAACTTGAACTCAAGATATTATCTGCCCTTTTAAAATATGTAATTTAGGAGAGTCATCTACATTGCCTGTTATTGTATTTTCTAAGTTACTGAACTTCAAGAAAAAAAATTAATAAAAATGTTGAAAA